ATATATATATACAGTATATATATATATATATATATATATATATATATATATATATATATATATATATAGTGTATATATAAAATATAATATATATACATATATATCACAAACAAATATATAATTTGAACAATCTCTTCAATATATAAGTGATATCCAAGTGACTGAATTACACATAACCAAAAATCAATCACATGTATTTTAATAGATTATAATGCATTTCTGTTTTGCAAAAACATGTTCAAATGTGAAATACCACTGTCTTTTATACTGTATTTTTCAGTGTTTGATGAAATTATTTCTAATTGTTTAAAAATAAAATAAAATAAAAACCCAGTCAGATTAAATTAATTCACAAACTTATTTCTTTCTAAGGCCAGGTTTTGGCAGCTTTATGATCAGAGAGAAACCATGCTAAGTTCCTCTGGGTCCTGTAATCAGAACCATATTTGGCTTTATCACAGGAAAAAACTGGGATAATATGAAAATAGCTTTGATTAATAGGAGAGCAACCTAAATAGTCTTCTATACATAAAACTGATCAAATAAATAAAAATTACACATTTAATTAATTTCTGCGTATTAAATGACAAGAAATGCACAAAAATGCTAATGCATTAATATGCTCTGTTCTTGGGTTGTTGGTTTTGTTTTGTTGGTGTCCTACACCGTGTGTGTGTGTGTGTTATTTCTGAGCTGAAAACCTCCAGTGACTAGTAGAGTAGAAAACCTGCACTGGAATTTATTATGATAATTATTTTTAAATGGTTGAACGGTGGAGCATTTGGAATGTGAGTTTATTACGGCCCATGTGAAATATTTGGTCACCCAGTCATCGTACCTGCATGTTTGGCCCTCACAGACATCCGCTGAATGGAAGCAGAAACTCCCGTTTTCACGCACATCAACACGTCCGTCTCGACACACGATGTTTCCCAGTGTGAACTAGGCCTTGGACCTTGGTCTCAATGAACATTAGGTCAGTGACTCTCGTCGTCTCGGGTTTCTCTCGCCGCTGTTTGTTGAAGTGAGTGGTGTGGAGTGGTCTGGCGTGCAGCCCGCCGCTCGGGCTCCTGGAAGCCTGGCAGACTGGGGTTGTAATGGGCTTACGATGGGTGCCAAAGCCAGCCACCGTGGAAGCCAATGTGGTGCCCAGATGTACAGCACATTCCCACAAAAAGCCACACAATGAAGACTTTAATGGAGAGAGAGCCTTCTATTTAAAACACACTACAGCCTTTTTGGAAATATTTGGTCCAATAAAGTTTAATATGGAATATTATTACCTAATTTCTGACTGTGCAGAATCCGAGGCTCATCACATCGGTTCGGATGTTTGTGACGTGCGCTATGCAACAAAGACTTTCAGACCATGCAAAGTGTCTGTGGTTTTTTAAAGATCTTTTCCAAGGGCTGTTTTCTTTGGCAGTCTGGGGTGCGTTCCCCGAAAGCAACTATGATCACAAATCTGGTCATTACCAATAGAGTTTAATGGAACTTGTGACCATAGTTAGCTAAAGTTGCTTTTGGGAAATGCACCCCTGATCAGGCTAATTTAAATGTTCGACTGGCATACAATAAAAATTGCTCTCTAAATTAGAGATTAAAGGTTGATCTTCGGATAAAAGTGTCCGCTAAATGCATAAATGTAAATATGCAGCACAAGAGTGCACTAGGCCAATCTCTGCTTGTGCTTACTTGGGAAATCTTACAAGAAATGACCAGAAATAAATGTATAACTGTCTTATAATTGTGAAGTTGGTTGATAAACATTTATTAAATCAAATCTAAAAATGCCATCACAAAAAATACCATGGTGCAATTATAGAACCAGGTTTCATGGTACTTTAATATATACCATCATACTAAATGATTACAAATTTTATACCATGGTATTTACATGATACTTCAACACTGCAAAAATAATTTTCTTACTCAGTATTTTTTTTCTGGTTTTCCAGTACAAATACTAAAACTTTAAGTCAAGATACATTTACTTAAGAAGCAAAATGACTTAAGATATTAAGTCTTGTTTACTGAAATATTGATAAACATTATACTTAAAACTTAAAAATGTGTCTGTAGTATAAGAACATTCCCTTTGAATTAAGCAAAAACTCACCTAATTTTTTATTATTCTGGTTGAAAGTCTCTTCACATTCCAATAGCAATCACTAAGTTGAGTGGTATAAATGTATTTATATTGTATGTGGAAGGCGTTGTCACGGTTATCTACTGTGTAGGAGCAAGGGACGCAGAGACGAAGGAGAGTCACGAATAACAGTCTTTGGATAATCCAAACAGGGGTAACACAGGGCAGGCAGGAACACACACGTAGCACATCAGGAGACAAATAAAAACCGGACAAGGAAACATGGAGCAGACAACATTAAAACACAGGGCTTAACGAGGGGTAATTACAAGACACAGGTGAATCAAATAACTAATCAACGAGAGGGGAGAAACAACAAAACAGGTCCATTTTCCTGACATATC